CTAAGTTGACGAAATCGTACAGGTCTCCGTACTCTAGGCATCGTCACCGATCGTAAAGGATGTCAAGAACCAAAATCCGCCAACGTTGATTCTTTACTGCGGCTGAAATATTCATTTTTAGAGCGTTAGTGAATTAAAAAAAAGCAGTATAAAAACCGGAATGTCCAACTGATAAGGCTGAACAATTTTTCACTTGTTATTTACAGGAAGATAAATACATTCACCAACTTTTATTAAAATAAAACCATTTAAACTGGGAGTTCGGATGTATGATATAAGACAGCTTTATTTCTTACACAGTATCACTCACTACCATAAATTTGTAAACACCGACCAAAAAATTAAACATCATCATTATACCAGGTACAAAATTCGTGGCACAGTAGTTCCTCAACCGCATAGATCTATAATGCAGCGATCATATCTCTATTTAGCGCCTAAATTTTATGAAATTATACCTAAAGATTTACGTTTCGGAAATTGTTTCAAAAGAAATTTAAAAAAGTGGCTACATTCTATATCTAGGACTGAAATTCATAAACTCATAAATACGAACATCAACTAAATACATAATCTACTGTAGCTAATTTTTGTCCTTTTTTGTCATTTGCATTCTACAGTTTCAACTTAAATTTATTGGTCCATGTACAGGCGATGCCTTCTATTGGGCCTGTTTTGATTTTATATTTATTTACTCATATTGTTTGTTATCTTTGTACATTGAGTGAATGAATATTATTATTATTATTATATGTCACTTAGTATATTTAATGAGCGACATGAGAACAGTAAGGTGCATCGAAAATATGTTATAACTTGTAGCTAAATTTCGGGAAACTGGGCCAGTCCAACGGATTCTAAAGGCCCATAGTTTTCATCCGTATAAAATTCACCCGGTACAAGAACTTAATGAAGACGACCTTGATTTGCGATTACAATTTTGTGAAGATATGAGTGAACGAATTATAAAGGATGAACATTTTCTATTCAACACTAGCTTTTCCGACGAATGTTCCTTTTTCTTAAATGGCGTAGTAAATCGTCATAACTATCGATATTGGTCCGATTCTAATCCCAGAATTTATCATGAGGTTCATACACAGCAGTCACAAAAATTAAATGTTTGGGCTGGTATTTTTGCCGATCATTTAGTTGGTCCTTTTTTCTTACCTGGAAATTTGACCGGTGAAATGTATTTGGAATTACTGGAAGACGCCATGGATCCTGCATTAACAGCCATAATTGAAAATCAGAATGATCGGCGGTACATTGCGAATCGGTTGATGTTCCAACGGCATGGTGCCCCACCACATTACGCATTACGTGTTCGACAATGTTTAGATCAGACGTTTCCAGATCGATGGATTGGTAGAAGAGGTGCCATTGAATGGCCCCCAAGATCGCCAGATTTATCACCTTTGGATTTCTTTATGTGGGGTCATTTAAAAAGCAAAATCTATGCTACTCAGCCAACACCATTAGAAGACCTGCGACAAAGAATTGTGAATGAGTGCCTTCAAATTACTCCTCCAATATTGCAAAATGTGCGGCAACGTTTTGAGCAAAATCTTTATTATTGCATGGAGAGTCATGGTGGCCATTTTCAACATTTACTTGCCTAACGGGTCAGTTCATCCTTCATTTTTAAATTACTTTGCTGCCAGATGTATTGATCTCCACTAATGATGCTTCAAATCAATAAATCTTCAAAACTACTGAACTGAAGTACATTAATTTTATATCATTATGAAGGGAATTGAAAGACCTTTAAAATATATATATATATCACTCGACCCCCCTTTCCATTTAAGATTTTGGGGGTGGTGTCACCCCCGCTTAGGGGGCTGCACGTGCTAACGTGATTTTTTGCCAAACTTGTGTCCCCCTCGAAAACAAAATCGACGGGTCTGAGCGTTTTTCCAAAACTGAGCTGCCAGTAAATGCGTCTGTTGCGTTTTCGATGCGCCACCCTGTATATATATATAGGTATATACGTATACCACCAGAACCAGGTTTTTGTTAATGTTTTTGATTTATATCATCTGTTATATCAGCCTGGAATTTCCTACAATTCAAAAAGAAAACATAGCCTCACAATAGGAGAGCGCTGACGCTGACAGGAACCCGAACGAAAGTACGTCAATATTGCCACTTTTTCTTCTCTACAAGATGACATAATTAAAATTTCATTATGCTGTTTCGTCCCTCATACCCAATCATCATATTTATTAGTTCTTATAGACGCAATATTGGATACACAGGTGAATAAACTTTACAATTCTGATTTCAGAAATGTACAGTATGACATGCACGAATTTCCCAAGTGTATCTTGAAATTATCAGATAGTCATGTCCTTTATAATATCATCAGACAAGCATTCCTTCAGTTTTTATGAACTGGACATGGGTGGATAGTCCCTATTTCTGATTTCAATGATGTGTGCAGATTATGAGACGTTGATATTCTAAAACTTCAAATGTCTAAAGAAGTAATCTTCCTATAGTTGGTGTTAACTCATCGAAGAACAACGTACCCTTTCATATTATTTAAGGGTAGTCTTGAAAACTGAAAACTATTATTTTAAGTGTATAATGAAAACACTTCAGAACAAATGAACGCCTCTGCGATGAAGCAGCTTCCTAAATACATTTCATATCCGCCATATCTAAACAGATGTACACATCTTGCATTCAAATACTATTAGTCTACGCCTGCTTATTATATTCGATAACCGGGAAAATTGAATGAATGTCCTTCAAACACGCTCCTCAAAAACTAAAGCGTTGGTGATTTAGTCGGATAAGCATACGATAAACTGTCATTCTCGGAACCAACTATAAAAATATTAGGGTTTTTTTATAACTTAGGTTTGACAATGCCAATGTATGGTGTATATACATTTTTGATATCAGAATAAAAAACTATTTATCTGTGGACATATGCCGAACGCAAGAAAAAATAAAGAGATGTCATACTGTAATTCTAATTATGCCATATTGTAAAGGAGAAAAACTGGCAATGTTAATGTGCTTTTTATTTTTAAATCCCATCTCAGATAAAGTCAGGAAAAAGTAAAAAGGATTTTGAAAAAGTTTTTCCCATCGCCCTCTAGAACCCGGTTACCTAAATGCGAACTTTCCCCCATTTGGTCGACTTTGTATCTCTTACCATTTCCGAGCTCCCCATGGTGATAGTTGAATTTGAAACACCGGTATAATATCCATACTTATGACTCAAACGATAGCGAATGTATTGTCCTTTTCGCAAGTATCCATTACGGTACAATAACAGCTCATTATTTAGTAATATTTTAAAATTCACCATATCGACAAAAAGCACATAATTCTGACGGATCACTCAACGTCATGTAGAGAGAGCCGTATTTTGTTCTTTTTTACGCTACAGATTCATTCTGTACTTGCTAACAACTTTCATTTAGAAAAGTTGCATGCAAAACGCTACAAGCAAGTTTTACTAGATTTACACCCGGTTTATTATTGCCAAGCTTACAGACTAATAGAAAGATGTCACTTGCTGTTCACCTCAGTAGACGTCAAAACGTGATGGATATTCGTGAAATAGGGTGTATTCGCTGAAAATAATAACCCTTATGAGTTCGATACGACTGCACTATCAGAAAAAAGCGCATCGGAGGCAATGCGCGCTTTTCTATGCGCTACACGGCATCACGGCTAGATGAGAGTATGAGTGTACTGGCTTAGCGAACCGCGAACCTAGCCTAGTGCATGGAATGAAGCACAGTGAGAGTTCAACGACCCTTCAGGCCGATGGCCAATGTGCTGGTTGCTGCTAGATATTAGAGATGCCACGAATAATGGTTTTGCTGAGTAACGAATATCCGACTGCGCTATTCGGTCTCCGAATATTCGGCATCGATTTCCATTTTGCAGAGGGTCTACCTCGTAAAAAAACAAATGTCGATGGAAGTACAATACGACAGTTTCTCGAGTTGTTTTGAGGAAGTCGCTACAGAACATCTAAACAAAGATGGCGATGTGGAAAAGAGAAGTGTTATTGCAAATGATCTAAAAACTTTTTCCTAGATCGGACAGCATCAGACCCTTACAAACAGTGATCAGCAAACGTACAACAGTATCGAAAACTAACAAACTTAAAAAAATGTATCTATCATCACCCGATAGCAGTGTACCTATACAGTGAAAAGTTTTTTTCATAGGCCGGTATAGTTCATGAGGAAAAGTAAAATCAGCTACTTTTAACAAATGGTGCACAAATAGTTTCAGTTCAGCACAACTACCCACATAAAGTTTGAGTAATAATTGTAAATCTTTTTCGTATCATCTATTTAATTTTGGTTTTTTCATGACTCGGTATTCGGTGCTCTGCCGAATAAATAACAATATTCGTTCCACTAGCGAATATTAAGAACGGTAGCCGAATAGGCAGAATACCAGAATTTTCGGGGCACCTCTACTAGATATTAATTATAGTGCTGCTTGCTCGCTCTTTGACCGGGCGTCGTACTCTGAGCACACCAACCACCAACGAATTCAGACTAGAAAGAAGGAGCAAGTACGCGGTTTGTTTTGATCCACAAAATCGTACTCAGCAGTAAGGATGCAAGTGCATCCTATAAGGGATACGTGTTTGCACTTCGCATTTGATTCGATGTTTTCTGCAAAAACTTAAAAGAGCGTAAGTTCCCATACATTTCTAGCGTTCCGAACAACTGCCAATATTATTGAAGGTTTTCATTCCAGTTGGTTTTTTGAGTTTTCTATCGCAATCTAAAGGTGGGTCCAGACTTGAACATTTTAGCCCGAACGAACAGAACGAGCTGAGCGAGCAAAGCCGAATTCGCTAAGTGTGGACCTGCGCCCGAGCCGAACGTTTTCCGGAGCTTGTCGGTAAATCGGAAATGCTCAAAGAGGTTTATTGTTCGCCGAATTATTCAGTTGACGGAATTAATATAGTTCGCGCGGTTCGCAGCATTCGAGTAATTGTCTGTGTTTTGAAGGTACGGCAAAAATAAGAAAGAGTTATTTAGTTTTATTATTTAAATAATAATTTGATAATGGAATGGAATAGGGAAGCATGTTTAAAATTAATTGACATTTATGAACAAAACCCTGTGTTGTGGAATCCCAAACACGGATTGTATTACAATAAAATAAAAAAGCATGACGCCTGGGTGAATATTGGTCAAATCATGCAGTGTGGTAGTGAAGAGGTAAAAAAGAAAATGGAGAGCATGTTGGCAAGTTTCAGGCGGGAAAAATCCAAAGGCAAAAAATCTGTTGGTACCGGTAAAGGTAATTTATACAGCACTGTGGGCCAAATTAGGTGTTATATTTGAAAAACAATTTATTTTATAGGTAGGCAAGAAGTGTATATATCCAAATGGTTTGCTTTCACCCGAATGGCCTTTTTATTAGACAGAGATGAACCAACAGAAACATTAACTTCTCTCAATGTAAGTATATTTGACTCATAAATAATAATAGGCAGAAAATGAAGTAATATTTACATAGGTATTATATTCATTTATTGTAAAAGTAAGTTGCAAATTTATCCCGCACTTCTTTTGCTTCCAATGATGTTTTACGTGGAATTTGCCTGATGGGTATGAATGATGACAAATCATTGTTGCCTTCACTTCTCCAGTTACCAGGAATTATATTTCCCATGCTGACTTCTTGGTCAAATGTTCCAGGGGGAGTATAAGTATTTCGAGATTTACTTTTTCGTAGAAAGTTATGTAGGCATACTGCTGTCAGGATTACGTATTTTGCCTTTTCTGGTTCCAATAACATGGGTTTTCGTAAAACTCGAAAAACTGCAGAAACAATGCCGAAAACATTCTCTACAACTCTTCTTGCACGACTTAGGTGGTAGTTGAATTTTCTCGGCGTTGTACCTTTTTCGTGCATCCCCGAGTACGGTTTCATTATCCTCTTTGTCAAGGGAAATGCCTCATCTGCTAAGAAAACATATGGAAAACATTGCCTATTTCGGGCAGTAACTTGTCCATAGGAAAGTTTAGCCTGCCTTCTGTGATTTTTCTATGTAGTGAAGTATGTTTAAAAACACCGCCGTCTGAAATTCTACCTTGAGAACCAATGTCCACAAAAATAAAATTGTATGCCGCATCCACAACTGCAAATAACACAATACTAAAATTTGATTTATAATTATAATATTCGCTTCCAGTATTGTTATTATAATATGTTTCCCATCCATGGAGCCCACACAATGTGGAAATTGCCATTGTTCGTAAAAAATCTTGGAAATTTGAAGCCATTCTTCGGCAGTTGATGGAATCTGAAATAAAATAAAAAACGGCCTAAGTTTAGGACTAAATTTAAAAAAAAAACTCTAGATGCACAATTATTTTTTGATATATTTTTTGGAATATTCGTGCACTTGTCGGTTTAAACCTATACCTTATTTTTTAATTAGGAGTTGTTGACGAAATTTTTGGTTATGTTATTTTAATGCGGAAATGGATAAGTTTTCTTGTGTAAACCCACCTTAAATTTGACCAATCACGAGGCTTAATTTTAGGCGCGCTTTTTTGAATCACTCCTCCTAATTAAAAAATGAACTATAGGAAAGCGTCAAATTTCACCGGTTTTAAAGTTAGACTACTTTAGTGAATCCTTGGGAGGTAATCCCTGCAAATACAGTGTATTTTGACAAAATTATATCACATCAAATTTCCTGTTTGTTTTTTCTAGGATGACACAGAAACGATGGAGGCTGCTTCGCATGAAGATATTGAGGATTCCCTTGATCAATCTACAGATATAAATGATGATCATTCACAAAACGACAGAGGCAATCTTGATGAAAGCCAAACCGTACTTCCTCAAGTGAAAAGAACATGTGTAAACTTAAAAAAAGGAACAAAACAGAACATATCTCGGGAAGATAGCACTATTGTCGAAGCCTTTGGAATGCTAAAAAGCGTAGTAGCAAAGGAAAAGCCCGCAGAAATATCAGATAGTTGTACTGATTATGGAAAGCATGTGGCAAATAAGTTGAGAAATTATTCGGAGAGGACTAAAGCGATAGTACAGTACCATTTTAATAATATATTATTTCAAGCTGACATGGATAATTTTGAAATAAATAGAAATGCAGCAGCTATGAATGTTGCTGCAAACTATCAGAATTCGTCCATAACTTTGCCCACTGGTCACTTTACGACACCCATTCCAAAACCTTCTCCACAAGAAACGTCACAAAGTGAAGTTTCATATACTGATTTGACATCTCCGATCAGCGAAGTTAATGCTCAAGAAGAAACAGGTTCAATTGGAGCAGCCGCTAATTTCTTAAGCAACTGGCAAATTTAACATTACTACCTACTTACCAATTATTAGAAAGAAAATTCATTATTTTCTATTTTTTGCTGCTTTATTTTTGTGTTCGTTAATTAATATAAGTTCTAATATCACTTATAATGCATATGTATTATTTCTTACCTTTATCAGGTCCTTCAAACTCAAGGTTAGCGCTTTACATGTTTCTGCCACTATGATGCTAATACTTTGTTTTGATATTTTAAACAAATACTGAAGGCTGGTGAAGGAATCGCCAGAAGCTAAAAACCTCAATGTTAAGGCTAAACGATCTTTAACTGGTATTGCTTTGCGTAACTTTGTATCCGTCTTTTGAATTACAGGTCCAATTAAATTTATCAACTCCTCAAAATCTTCTGAAGTAATTCTGGTAAAATTTTTTAAATGGATGTGGTCCATTTCTAATAATAACAAGTTATTGTTGCGCTGTCGATACAACTTTCGTACCCATTGGCTCCGCGCTTTTTTCTCCTTTTTGGCAGCAATTTTACAAATTAGAAAAAAAGAGCTAAATGCTACCGCTAACTCAGTATTCATATTCAATCTTGAAATTCACTATCTTACTTTTACCAGCACTTCCGTATATCTTTGCGGAAAAAAAAATAACAATAGCAAATACATAAACACTTCGAGCAGTTGGAACTTTTAATGCTCGCGCGAACGGATCGACCTATGCTCTGTCTGTTCGCTCTGCTTATTTCCGCACGCTCAGCTCGTTCTGTTCGTTCGGGCTAAAATGTTCAAGTCTGGACCCACCTTAAGGTTTGCTAGTAACGTTTCATGCCTAGCACAACATTGAAAAATATAAAATTTTGGAAACAAACCAGAATTTCTCATGAACATTGAAAAGGGCCAACTGCAACTTCAACGTTGAAGCCCTATCTACTTTTATGTTAAAATTTTCTTACTTTCGAGTTTACTCATTTTTGTGCCACGAGATTTTTACAAAGAACCTCGGCACACACGAAACAATGTTACATCAAATTAATGAAATCACTTCTAGATCGCTTTATGCTATGATATAACAGCAATAATTAACAGACAATGTTCAACTAGGTATTTGATTAGCCAAAAGTTTGCTCGAGAGTGCACCTAGTACAATTAGCTATCGGAGTATCTTTTTCAAAATAAAGAATGTACGCTGATGTATTTGTATGTAGTTTTTCACTTCGATAGACCAATCTGCCGAAAGGTATCCACAAAATCCATGACAAGCACTTCCTTGTAAGCAATAATATCCAGCTTTGAAATGTCCTAACCTGTAAATTCAAGTATCCATACCTTACCAAACACATAAACTGCAGAATACGATAAAATGTTGTAGAAATTCATGAATTATGTGTCGCCATTTCTTTCACATGGGTACCTCCAAAATGTATGGTCTCAGAGTCTATAAGTATCATGGGAACACACGATCAAGGAGTACGAAATTTATTCTACCTTAGCGACTCCTATCCTGGGAAAGCGGTTCTTGTAGTAGTATGCTATATCATCCATATATTATTTTCTTGAAAGGAGTATGTAATTAAATCTCCCATTTATTATTGCACATTCAGATATACCCTTTGGAAAAAGGGGTGTTCATATAACAAACTATAGAGTTTTAATGATTAGTTGAATTATAAACAGTTCATTGAAGAAAAACGCTCAACTTTGGTAGCCTGTCAGTCCGCTATTTCGAAACATGGTAAATTTATACCCTAGGGTTACAAAGTACCGATAAACGAGTTTCAAAATGAGACATGACCTCTCATTCCATTTAAGAAAATGATTCAAGATGGCGACTTGGCGCCAAGTCGCCATCTTGGAAGAATGTTACGTATACGCTAAAATATCGCATTCATGCACCAATTTCATTATACCGAATTTGATCTCGCTCACTTGACCCGTTCAAAAAATAAAATGGAGGGGACCTTTTTTGAAAAGCACTGTATATTTACACTTAAGATTATGGGACATACTTTTTATAGAACAGGACTGGTAAAAATTATTCCGAAAAATAGGTCATGATGGTGTGATGTAATAATTTATCAAGCATCACAATCAAGGAGATAATACTTTTAGATATTTTTAGGTTTTATTGTGGACTGATGCATTGGAAAACAGATGGAGCTCTGCTTGGAGAAGTAATAATTGTCCTTTCAAACTTGAGCAACCAAAAAGTATGGTGATATAGTGATTTGCATTCATAGTTTCGTTATATGAAATCAGAAATCGACAGAGTTTCTTTACAAATAACAATGACTTATAACATGGCATACAATCTATTGAAATTTTTATAATCATCAGTTAATTTAGATGGGACAATTCTTCTCTGTGTAGTCGATTAATATTCTGAAAACATTTTTTTAAACATCATTAGAGCCATCGTAAGCAAAGTAGGGGCTCCTGCAAACAGCATCTTGGGGCCTCGCCTTGTACAATTATGGAGATTTTAAGGATTCCCCCTCTAGGAAAATCTGCTACCGCCCGCTATCCATCTATGTATGCGTTTTTAGGGCACACACTTGAGATTTACAAGATACCAAACTTGTACAAATGTCAGTATAAAATTATGATCATTTTGGAACCATACAAACCTGAACAATTTCCTGAACCCATATTCTTGAATTGATGGAGTAGAATAACTGGAAAAAAGTGGATGTGGTTCTCTTACCTTTCAGTGAACTATATTCCTGAACAGTAATAAAACCATCACTCACTGACCATCATCCACCAGTCTCGTCTGTAAAGCCAAAATTAACTTTGTGGTGGGGCGCGAACCCAGGAACATATTATACCGAAAATCATGTTTCCCCAAATTTGTTTGACAAATGTCAACTGTCACCAGAATTTGGGATCACTCCCACTTTCTCTCAGTAATTGTATTCCCTCATTCAAAAATAGCATTTAACAATAATAATTATAGTATTGTCAAAAGGTTTTTTTGATAATGTGTAAAGATTGCTAAAAAACATATTTCTCTGAACTTGAGACTGTTTGTATCAGTATGTACGTAGTAAGTGCTTCATTAGATTAGAAATGCCTATCAAATAGCCATATGGTAGTACAAATATATTAGAATCATCAAAACACTACAGTAACTTCAGTACTAGAACTTCAAGCGAGTTTGACACGTGCCATTTATATTATGGTATTTATACAGAAAGAGTAATAAAAAATAATAATCAGATTTACAGGTAAATTAGCCACCAAGTTATTTATCAATTAGTTTGAGCACTGCAGAGTTATAGCTACCCGAATAAACCCACAATAAAACCACCAACAAACGTGTTCAACCAATGTAAAGCAGTCCAGCCGTACAATACTTTGCTGAGTAGCAGCAGCCATGCCAGCGTTGTTAGTTCACAACATTCAATAAACAATCAAATCTGACAGCCAAGTGAAAACTGCTGTCAATCTGAGAAAGCATTGCCACAGAGTACCGTACTATTCTAATCATATTAGACGAAAATACCCCTGGTTTGCGAAATAATTGTAAAGTCTAGTTTTATTGCTGCAAGTTGCTCAAGGGGGTATTCAAAACATGGACGTTTAAAATGGGTAGACCAATTTTTGTGGGAAAACTTTTTATTGGAAAACAAAGAATGAGAAACCGTGTTTTTTGGGACTCAATCGAAAGTGTTGGCAGGAACCAAAGAACTCTCCAGATAAGATTTTTAGGTATCCATGAGACCTATAAAATGAGACCACACGTAAAAAGATACGACTAATAGCAAAAAAGTTATGGCCGACAACCGAGGCAAACTGCCGGTTTTGGCACTTGTTGGTAATGCGACGATGGTTTTTGGAAGATATTTGAAATTCTTCAAATTCATAGGATTAGTATTTCTAAATAACCACAGCAAAATTGTAGTAGATTGGTCAAGCAGTATTTGAGAATTTCTAATGGTTTATCTCAAAACACATGTCTTCCGGCCATCACTACTGGTTCATTGAGCAAAATGCAGTGTTAGTTCAAAAGGCATTTTATAGCAAGATACACTAGTTTACCTTTCCGATATGAATCTCAAACCATTCCGGAAGATAAATGTTATTTTTATGCAAAGAAGGATGTAACCCCCTTTTTCTTCTAAACAAATTCAAACATTTCGTATTCGTGAGTAATTCGCAACATAAGATGATAGACACATCCCCTTTGTTTTAAAAAGTGTATAGTAACGTGTTTTTCGAATATCGCAGCGCTTTTGTTCAATTACTCACATATTCGAAATGTTTGAATTTGTTTACAAGAAAAAAACGTAACCTTTGTTTTTCGCATAAAAGTAACATTCATCTTTCGGAATGGTTTATGATTCATATCGGCAAGGTAGACACGTGTATTTTCCTATTAAATGCTCTTTGAACGAACCATGTATATTGCTCAATAAACTAGAAGTGATGGCCGGAAAACAGGTGTTTTGGGTTAAACAATTAGAAATTTTCAAAAAACTACTTGACCAATATAGTCCAATTTTGTTTTTGTTATTTAGAGGTATGAGTCCTACGGATTTGAAGAATTTCAAGAAGTTGCGTAAAATTATCATCGCATTACAAACAAGTGCCAAAACCTGCATTTTGCCTAGTTTTTCGGCCATAACATTTTTGTTATTAGTCGGATCTTTTTATGTATGGTCTCATTTTGTAGGTCTCATAAATACCTAAAAATCTTAATGAAAAATTTTTTCGTTCCTGTCAACACTTTCGATGGAAGTCCAAAAAACAAGTTTTCTCATTCTTTGTTGTCAAATAAAAAGTTTTCCCACAAAAATTGGTGTACCCATTTTATGCGTCCATGATTTAAATACCCCCTGAACAACTTGCACCATTAAAACCAGACTTTACTATCATTTCGGGGAACTTTGATAATATGATTAGACTATACCTGTTTGACTACTATATATATAAAAAAAAAAATTTTGTCGAAGTACCCAACAAAAGGCGGAAGCTTTAATTTTTCACCTAACTGGTCTAGACGACAATGACCACGTCTCAAAAAAAAAAAAAATATATATATATATATATATATATCTATGTATATATAAAAATGAATCCCTATTTCGCGTGGTCACTCGATAACTTGAGAACGACTCTACCGATTTCATTCATCTTTTTTTTTAAGTTTCCTAATGTTGTATAGAAGGTTCTTACGGAAAGAAAAATCAAGAGAATTGCGCAGCAAATTGGGAAATCATTAAAAAACTAATGATTATTTAAGCTACGCGCGTTTGACAGTTTGCTTGAACATGGAGCACGCACAGCAGAAGAAATATCTCAAGTACCAAAAGAGACAGGCACTCCTCTCCGCCATCTTCATTCCAACAGCTATTGACAGTTAGCTATGTGAGAGAAAAATGCTAATGAAAACACGGTGCTTTCGTTTTTGGACTAACATTTCTTTACCATATCCGTACTTTGTGATGGCCCCTTCAAAAGAAACTGCAGTGTTGCCTAATTGTTATCTTTGTCAGTTAACTCTATGAATAAAAATGGCGGATGAAAATACGCTTCTTTTGTTTAATTTACTTTCACTACTCTTTGAACTCGACAGCTCGCACGCCGCAAACTTGTGTTATCGTTTAACAGTGTTTATCGATGAAAAAATATTGTTTTATTTAATTAGTAGTGCACAATCCATTTATCTAGAGCTTTTATCCAGTTTTCAGTTGTTCAGTGAATTTTTTGAGAAGTATTAGTTCAAAAATAATTAACAAGGGTGGAAGTTAGTTCACCGCAATCAAGCCTTGTATTGAAATTGTGATTCTTCAAAATGCCGCCAATTAGACATACCAACCTAGGTCGCAGAACTCGCGGTAAGACTATAGTTTAGCGCATATCGCAAATACTTAATTTCTTACTTTAAAATGAAAGATTAGGATGTAACTTTTAGGCAAATATTATTTTTTCTTTAAGGAACCCTCTGCTTGCTATTTTATAGAACTTCGAAGTTGCATTTTTGGTGGTAATACTATAAAATAGAATACTGTCTTGTATGCTGTCTTTTTTTGCTTTTTGTACAAAAGGATGCTCTAAATTATAAGAATATAACATACACTGTATAGTACTAAGGAAAATAGATGTGAAACTGTAAAAAATCGTTGTTTTCTGCAAAAAAAGGGTCAAAACCAGACGTGTTATTACACATTAGCTTATTAGCTTAAATAACAGATCATAATACATACGTAAATGATGGTATTTACTTGGTAAACTGTGTAGACGTGTTGTTTTGTGATTTTTCAATGCCTTCTTGAAATACCTTAACCATTTTTTTTCGCGTATTTTCAATGAGATCAGAGTTTTTCGTTTATAAGAAATATTTGAAAGTACAAACAATTCTCAATGGCCATTTTATAACACTTCTTGTCAGATAAGATAAATGATTTCCATTGTTGCCAAGTTGTACCTTTTTTGGGAGAAATACGTAATTAGAAATTAGGTTATTTGCAAGATAAAAGCCTTAATTTATTGTAAATGGCTTGTTTTATGAAAAGTTGTCCAAATATTTCCCGAAAACTAGATGAAATTTTGAACAGCATGTGTCTAAGGCCCGTATCGTCAGTCGTCCCTACAATTGTAGGGCGCCTTTATGGCCTCCTTGATTGTCATAGTTTTCTACTTCTCCGTGTCAGAACTCTATTTTGAGGTTATGTCACAAACATCTATTTGCACCAAATTGTGCTTGCTTTTGAGTTATATCATGTTTTATCAGCCTGAAATTTCCTACAATTTAAAAAGAAAACATATCTTCACAATAGGAGAGCGCTGACGCTGACACGGGACAAGTGTAATCTAGACATTTTTGAAGGAGAGAAAGGAGTATGACAATCAAGGAGGCCATAAACGCGCCCTACAATTGAAGGGACGACTGACGATACGGGCCTAAACAGTGGAAAATGCACCAGCGGCTCGCGTGACATAAATTCAAAAGGCACAAGCGGTCATTGCATATAAAAATACCCAACGTCAATTCGTCGATTTGGACCACCTCGCCAGGTCCACCCAACAGATCATTGTGCAACATTGTAGTTAAATAAAGATCAACGATTATTTCATCAAATCACCAAAAAAACTTGCAATGTTCTTTGTTATGTTTTCATTATTTAGTGATTTGCAACAGCTACTTTTTCAGTTATTCCTCATATATATTACATTTAATTAGGTACATTTTGTAACATCTGCTTAGGAAAAACAATTCCTGAAGTACTTTTGTGAAGGGCATAAGGCATTCTTCAAAAAAGTCTCTTTAGCTAACGCTATCGTAGAGCACAAGGTGGATTTAGTACAGTAAAACCTGCCGGCCACACTTCCAAATCGCATTTTCATGACAATCCTGTACTGATTGCACATTTTTGCGCTAGTATATAAGTAAGAATTTGACAAACCAAATTAAGGTATATTACTATCCATGATTTGGCAACAGAATATGACAGTGAGGATGGTGTAGTGATGGGAATAGTTATCTGAAATAAAAGAAATGACTACTTAACTATTTTCATCATTAAAATAATGGAAAATTGCATTATTGAGATGAACAGTATCACAGTAACTTACAGTGTATGTTATATTCATATAATTTTGAACAATATTTTGTATAAACAAGAAGAAAACAGCTTATAAAGCAGTATTCTATACCACAGTATTAGCACCCAAAATGCAACTTTGAAGTTCTATAAAATAGCAAGCAGAGATTTCCTTAAAGAAAAAATGATATTTTCGTGCAAGTTACATCCTAATCTTTCATTTTAAAATAAGAGATAAAATATTTGTGATATGCGCTAAAGTATAGTTCAGCCGAATTCGCAATGCCGCAAGTCAATGATATATTTACGAAAAAGTCAAACAGACGAGCAACGAGAAATGAAGTTGTGCAGGATAGAAGGAACGAAATTCAACAACATAGAAGTGTAATTCCAATTGAGATGCATTCAATTATGATGTGGAAACTGTTTACAGTTCACAACAAATCGTTGTTATTGAACCAATGAACGTTGTGAGTTCAAACTCACAAGTTTAAAAATGAAGCCCCTGGATTATGTTATCAAACTGACTCTATTGGTAACACCACCAGGGCCACTACATTCATTGTTTTCCAGAAATGGGCCAGGTTTTATACATTTTTTGACTCATATGCAGAAATACAATAATTGCTTTCAAATGACGTAATTTGGCGCAACAAAATTCATTCGTCACATAATTTTATGCCTACCTTTAAGGTAAGTTGAGGTAAGTGCTGCCAAGGTATTTTGCTAGCCACAAGGCGGTACTAACACTTTGCTATACAATTACCTACATTCCATATATTTACCCTTTTATTATTCATTATTCATCCCAGTCCATATCTAAGACAGGACAACGTCTGACGGGTCAGTTAGTTCAGTATAAAATGAAGCATTGGACATCTGGACCGTTTACATCCGCTGAAGCTCATTAGATCTGTGGATGACAAAAAAATGATGCCCAAAAAATATTCAATTAGATACCCTAGGTAGGGACGCAATCCACAAAAAAAAGTCAGCAATATGTTAATAGACGCTAAAAATATAGAAAACGAAGTATCCTGCAACACAAGATATGATTACAAACAGCTGTGGAACTGTCACAGATAATTATTTGTAGGTTATGATTTTGTTTAAAGTATACCATAACCTCCAAACCTGATCGAATGCTTTGCATCCCCTAATATTATGCAATCTAAGTTATATATGTACTTACACTGATGAGGTAACCATCTTCTTTGAAACTCCCCCGTACTCACCGGGTCCTTTTTCTTGGGGGCAGCTGGTTCTCCTTTTGCCTCTCTGTCCACAGCCGTCTTGTATTTTCCCAAGTTATCATACTTTGGAGCAGCCGTCACCGGCACAGAAACACCTGACACCCTCAGTGCTAAGACCGGATCGAAATTTTCGCTATGAAAATCAAGACGTGTGTCATTATCGCAAAATTGTTGGGATTTTCCTTTGTTTTCAAATCCCCGATCCTCATCTACCATGGTGTTATGCTGAAGTGAATTGCGACGTTGCCAGGTAGTTAAACTGAGATTTCTCTGACAAGTACCTGTTGTAAACAACCCTCTCCAAGAGAATGCTAGATTGGGCTTAATGCTAATGGTAATAATATTTACATACATAATAATATGTTATGCTGATCGTCAAAATTATTACAGCATTTATGCATGGTCACTCACTGGACAAAATTATTTAGAAGACAATGAGTTAGTCATCGTTTCTATTGCATTTTAAGCAAGCTCTCAAGTGCCTCCAATGTTACCCCTTTTTCATTCTTTCTACAGCTCATTATGCACCTTTTTTCGCATGTCTTAGGCCGAACGTCAGGATTATTACGTAAAAGTCAAGACAATGTCATTAAAAATCAGTATAACGTCTACTTGTGTACTGAGTAGTCGAACCTATAGAGGAATGACACAACGACCGTTACTCCGGCAATAGTATAGAACACACAGCTTAGGACATAGAAGCTATGAGTGGCCCACGCTAGTTCCACATTTGAAACAGATGTTACATCACATCAGAGTCAAGCCATATACCTAGCTCAAGTCAAGTGTCATGACGTTCAAGCAATATGGACACCTACACGATATACACAACAGTGAACAAGGAGTGAATGACAGTTAATTTCAAGGTTACATTTTTTTAAGAAGAACCTATGTAATGGTATTAAAAATCGAGATAATTTTTTAAGTCACGTAATACGGGTGCCAATTGATTCACAGTTCGAGGCAAAATTACAGATCTTCTCGACGATCAGAACATGTGACATCCCTGTAGAATTCATCTCGCGTGGTTTTTGTCCACATGCGCATGTCTACACGATCTCAACCAAGTGTAATCTCAGCTAACTGCCACATAGGCGTCGCGTTAGTTAGGACTGGGACGATTCATTCCAATAAACTTATGAAACGTAAGACTGTCAGAGCTTTGCGCTAGAGAGCTATAGAGATACAGCTAGTGAATATACTTACGTAACATGAGAAATCGTCATTATTTGCCGCATCCATCCGCGGCGAAGTTACATTTCCCCCTATTAGTCTAATCATATTAGACGAAAATACTCCTGATTTGCGAAATAGTTCTAAAGTCTGTTTTTATTACTGCAAGTTCTTCAATGGGGTATTCAAAACATGGTTGCATAAAATTATTTTTGTGGGAAAACTTTTTATTCGACAACAAAGAATGAGAAAACGTGTTTTTTTGGATTCAATCAAAAGTGTTGATAGGAACGAAAAAACGTTTCATACAAGATTTTTAGGTATTTATGAGACCTACAAAATGAGACCACACTTGAAAAGATCCGACTAATAGCAAAAAAGCTATGACCGAGAACCGAGGCAAAATGTTGGTTTTGGACTATTAAGTGCGGGATTTACACATTTTAAAGAGGTACGGATCGAATATTAGTATGTATAAATAGGTGTATTAGGATTTGGCGAGGTATTCTACGAAAAGTACCTAGGTGCTTTTTTAACTTATTTTGAATCTTGTGGCTAAAAAATTGGTTAAAGATGCAATTTTCTATTCTTCTTGTTATTATAAAAACATTTAAGATTTAACATTTTACTAGGATAAATATAGCCTTCATTAGTACCTAAGTAATTGGTTTAAATTTAAATGAAGTGTATGTTTTTAGACCAAAGCTTTAAAACAAGATGCCAGGGTGTGCATCAGTAGGATCCACAAATTCCGTTTGAGGAGGATTTTTGATTAAGTTCCCAAAGGATCCCCATTGGAGAAAGCAAGCAAAAATGAAAAGGGGAAAATGACAACCAATTGACTCCCCAACTTTATGTGACGCATGACACGCCAGTATAGCTTTGAATTTTTAATAGTATACCTATTTTGTAAAAGTTAACGACAAATAGAATACACCACGTAGGTGGTAGAGGGTCTCTGACTGTCGAACGCGGAGGTACCACCCGGCGGATCTCGTAGGCGGAGCCAGAATGTGTGCATGTTGCATGCACACGTGTTCCCTCGCCAGAGTCCGTGTGGCGTTCCCCCTTTCCCTTGTATCCCCCTATAGCCCCACGGTACCCAATGGGTGCTTAGGCCTTAGGCCTTCGTGGTAGTTGGAGTATAAAAAAACACTATTGAATTGATGAGAGTTATTAAATCAGAATCACTACCCACGTTGTTTCAAAAGTTTTTGATTTTGTTTTAGATTCACTTTGTTCCAGTAACGTGGGAAAGATTGGGCGAAGATGGCAGTGAGAAATCGAAGAATAATGCTATTCCAACAATGTTCTCTTTCACTAAAGCCAAACATAAGAGAAAGCCCCCGACACAAAGACAGCTTCCTGCGTGTGTCTCGCCTCTTGTAGATAACGAAGAAGAAATTGTTGATCCTACTCCTACAAAAAAGAAAAAAGTGGCACTTCCATGTAAATCTTCTTTTGACTCCTCTGAAACTCAAGACTATGATACTGATATATCTAAATCTCAGATATCCTTTAATACATTAGTCTTATGGGCAGTTCTTTGAAAAAAAAACTCAAGTGATGAAACAATTATGTCAGGATCTTTGGATAAACCAATTTTCAAAAAACTTAGTAGTAGACAGAAGATGGACATGTCTAGAAGGAAAAGTTTTAAATGTTCAGCTAGTTCCAAGCACTACAGGGACAAATTAAGAAAAGCTAAACATAAAATACACCTGTTGGAAAAAATTAAGTACAATGGAGCCCGTGACCCACCAGAAAAAATATTTCAAGATATTTTTGGTCGTGATCAAAGAAGACTCCAGAACTTGTTGTTTTACAGTCGTATTCTTTATGAAGTGCTCAGTTTTTTAAAATATAAGATTGATTCATTTTATGATCATCAAAAGCACTGTGTCCTAAACCGGGCAGAGCTAGACACACTGGCCCGAAGGATCTTCGTCCGATTACCCTTTCATTTTTTGTGCTTAAGACATTGGAAACGATAGTTGATAGGTACTTAAGGGATGGACCGCTGGAAAGGTGTGTCATTCATTCCAATCAGTTTGCATACCAAGCTGGAAAATCGACTGATCTGGCCTAGATTCTAGATCAGCGAGAAGTGGCACTTGTGGCCTTTTTGGACATTGATAGTGCATTTAGTTGCACTACAACCGACTCTATCAGACATGCCTTGGTTAGGCACGGGGTTGCATCAATCCTAATAGATTGGGTCCTATCTACGAGTACTCTGGAGGGTCGGGTAGCAACAGCTATGCTGAATTACGTAAGCTGAAGCGTCAGCGTAGCTAGAGGCTGCCCCCAGGGTGGAGTTCTGTCACCCCTACTGTGATGCCTCGAGGTGAACGAACTCCTCGTTAGGCTTAGCAGTATGGGTGTCTACGTGCAGGCCTATGCTGATGACTTAAGCATAGATGTTAGGGGTCGTTTTTGTAGAACAGTTTCTGAAATTATACAGGGTGCTCTGTGCTCTGTGAAATCGTGGTGCAGGGAAGTCGATCTTTCTGTCAATGCCGGAAAGACCGAGCTGATCCTATTCACTAGGAGAAGAAGGCTTGACGGGCTTGTCTTGCCGACCTTCTTTGGGACCCGATTGGTCCTATCCCAATTAGTAAAATATCTGGGAATTATCCTGGATTGCAAACTGAACTCGAGAGAGCATGTTGAATACAAGGTTAACAAGGCTCGTGGGTCTGAGAAGTGTTTTCGGTGTTAAACCCAAAGTGGTATACCGGATCTACACGACGATAGTACGTCCATCTCTCTTGTATGGCTCTCTGGTCTGGTGGCCTTGCATTAGAACTGAGACAAATAAGGCCAAACTCAATAAAATTAGCATTACAAGCGCAGTGCGAACAACGCCATTGAGTGCAATGGAAGCTATGTTGGATCTCCCACCGTTGGATCTAGTGATCCGCGGTGGTGAAGCGAGAGTAGTCGCTCATCGACTGTGGAGTTAGAGCAGCTGGGACTTCTTGAATCCTGTCAAGGGGTATACTGCCATCTTAGTCGAATGGCAAAGAAAGGACCCCGTCCCTCTAAGCAGGGGTGATCTGATTACCCCTAAATGTCGTAACCATCGAGGGATGAGTGGGACGCCGGTAGCCGGGGACTCTCCGGAGAGAGCGGGCAGATCTGGTACACGGACGGCTCGGTCACCGAAGAGGGCTCAGGCGCTGGGGTCTCTCGGTCTCGATGGATACACCACTACTTTCCAGGCAGAAATCTTTGCGATTCTGGCTTGTGTATCTCGCATTCTGGAGGAGAGTGGGCCTAAGAGAAGAATAACAATCTTATTCGACAGCCAGGCGCTGCAATGAAGGCACTAAGTGCCTGTAAGATCACTTCGAGTCTTGTATTGCAATGCAGGGAGGCTTTGAATTGCCTCGTAGCGAGGCATCCGGTACCGTTAATGAGGGTAATGGGGCACGCTAGGATAAGGGGCAATGAGACGGCGGACGCTCCGGTGAGGACAGGATCGGCCAGCAAGCTCGTTGGTCCTGAGCCAGCCTTCGGAGTGCCCGCGAATAGAGTTAGGAAGAAAATGGAAATGGTTTGCAAGACAACATCTTCAGAAATCGAGAAGTATCTCCAGACATCTCCGCCAGGCACGGTAACTCATTGAAGGGCCGAGTGCTAAGGATGTACGTTTCTGCTTATCTCTGGATAGAACCAACCTAAGGTTGCTGGTGGGACTGTTGTCTGGCCACCTGCACGTGATGTGGGTGGCTGAGGATCTCTTGTGTGCGCGCTGCCGTGTAGAGGAACAGACCTCCGGGCACATTCTGTGTCGCTGTGAAACTGAGGTACTATACGCAAACTATACTGGGGTCCATTTCTTTACACCCTCAGGGCGTCAAGGGCTTGGACTCAAGGCCATACTCAATTTCGCTAAAAAGGCGAGGCTTGTGATCTAAGGAATGTAGAGGTGCATAAAGGCCGGTTTAAGAGGCCTATGCCCTGGCTCCTTATGGTGGCCGGAATGCCTCTAATTTCGCGATTCATTCATTCATTCAGTCGTTGATGGAATGGCAATCACTACGGGTAAAGTGTATGTCACTTCGTTGACAGATACTTTGGACATATTACATTACCGGAACTTACTGATACAGTAACTCACGTCATAGTATTCATGTCATAAATTCATGGTATAAATACAAGATGGAAGCAGGTAGTAGCTTATTGTTTCACTGGAAACTCTGTGAATGGAAGCGTTTTTAAAGACATCATAGGTGAAGTAATGAAGCATCGAAAATCACTGCTGCAGTATCAGTAACTTCTGATATGGGCTCTTTATGGTCACGGACTTAGCTATCGTGTCAAGTACTAAAATCTCCACCGCCGGCATCAAGTCTGCAACAGCGCGGCCAGCCATCGACCCACTCAAACCTGTAACCTTCGTACTATACAGACGTTTTATTTTGTAATAGCTGGTACCGGCGACTTCGTATCGTTTTCAAGTAATTTTTATAATTACGTTTTATATCTTTAATGGCATTAGCAAATTGACAACGGTTGGATGCTTCGGAAATCTGGTTGGAAATACACCCTTGACGTTACGTTCATCTAAACGACTTTATTATGCTGCGATCCGATACGTCATTTGTAGAAAATTAAAGCATATACTTTCCCCGTAAAAGAAAACACCACCATTTCAATAATTACCAAGCAGGTACATATGCATGCGTTGCGCAACAGTAAAAATAAAACATCATATTACATCCGTTTTGCCTCATAATGAGTGCAGCGATTCCGCGCTTCACGAGAAATGTGCATTATTTATAAATGTACATGCGTTTGTGAAAGTGAAGAAATTATTATGGAGATTACAGCATACTTTCTACTTCTAATACTAATACGCCGCCATTCAAAACATCAATCACAGCGCAACTGCCATGCTTTTCCTGTAGTTGACGAGATTTCTGATTCTTTATTATAATAGGTACAAGTCGTTTAAGTTACAAAGTTTTAATACGAGTATCATGACCGTTATTCATGTTTATTTAGATTGAAAGCGATATTTGACGATGGTTAACTTAACCGATTTCTTTTGTGTGTCAGTAACAACATACCTCTTAGACTTAGGATTACACGAAAAGGTTTTGTATTGAACAATATACGAAAATGTGATCCAAGGCTGCTTGCTCTCACTGACTATTTTTTAAAGGTCTTAATTCAAGCGCTGTCGCGCTATCTGGAGCCAGCCAAAGGTAGTAATATCGAGCTGATTCTCTTATTACATTAGAGACTTTATTCATTACTGTACTGAAATAGATATCCGACATACTTTTCTGAGCTTATTATTTATTTGCTTATATATAATATATGTATGTATAACTACATTTTAGAAAGCAATAAGAACTAAAAAAACTAGAAATACTAAAATGGGTAGAAGCTTACAAAATACGAACATTGTATGTATTTCCTGTATATTTTCCATCACTTTCACTAAAACCTGCATAGTAAGAAGAAGAAAACAGCGAAAGTGACATAACTGAGCTCGTATGTAATTAGAATCGGCATAGATTACTGCAGACGTTTCCGAACTTTTGTTCTCACTTAATTGCCAACTTATAACATGAAAGCGCTTAATTGCATTCTTTTCCTCTATTATTGTGTAAAATGTTATAGTGAAGGTTGATGACCAGTATCTAATACGTGTAGATTAATATGCGTTAAAGAACATGCTTCTATTAATGCCATATTGGAAAGGTTCCTAGGTATTCACAGGTGTCCCTATTTTCTATTACTAGTGACGAGCACCAACCAGGGGTACATATGTGTTACTAGTTACTATCTTGTACTCGTGTAGCAATACAGAATATACTACCATAAGACGTTGTACGTAGTCATGCCATAAGTTCTGTCCCTCGTTTTCAAACAAGTGTAGACCTGTTAATACTTGTCCGATTGTTTACATTGTGGTGTCAGTTGAATAAGCGCTTTTCGGGTAATTACATATACCTCAGTTTGTATTGATCTCTCGAAGCATAACGATGGAGTGGGGCAAGGCAGAGAACCGTATTGCAGTGATAGCTTTACATAAGTGTAATCACAGTGCTAGTCAGATTTTTGAACTCTTACGCGGCCTTCAAATATCGCGTAAATTTGTGTCTAGGACCATTCAGCGGTACAATGAGACGTCCTCTGTTGATGACAGGCCAAGAAGCGGAAGACCTCGTCAAGTAAGGACTCCAGCAGCCATCAAAGCCGTAAAAGCCAGGATTCAAAGGAATCCACTCCGGAAGCAGAAGATCCTATCCAGGGAAATGAAGATTCCTGTCCGGACGATGTCGCGCATCATTAAACAAGACCTAGGGCTAGGGGCTTACCGGAGACGTACGGGCCAGCGACTTACGGCCACCTTGCGACACATCAGGGCGACAAGATCCAAGAAGCTCTTGGAGAGGTACGCAGCTGGGGGATTCCGAAAGATTTTGTTCACGGATGAGAAAATCTTCACCATAGAAGAAAAATTCAACCGACAAAATGACAAAGTGTATGCAAGGAGTTCACAGGAAGCTTCGGAGATCATTCCGAGAGT